CAGGGGACACATGCAGGGACAGGTGGGCCATCTGTCAGGAGCAGGCAGATTCCAGGGATTAACTGCTCAGTCTCTGAGGGTTCCCACCAGCCACGAGGGTGGCTTTCCCTTTGTCCCTCCCCCTCATATGTCTCTTTCTCTCTCTGCTGTGAAGGAATCCTGCTGGGGCCCCAAGAGCAGAGGGCCAGTGCCCCTGCCCCTGCACTGAGCATCCTCACTCTCGGTTGCACCAAGACTGTGCCGCGAGGGCTCCTCTGTGCGGGCATCTCTCCCAGTGTACTGAGAGCCTCTTAGTTTTGCTGTTGTTCCGTGCTGTTCAGTTGATTCCGACCCCCAGGACCACACACTCGTGCTACAAAGTGCAACTGCCCCATGGGGCTTTCTTGGCTGTAATCTTTTGGCGGGGGGCCGGGGGGGTGTGTGTTTGTTTTGAGTTTTCATTTTTTTCTAATGATTAACTCTTCTAATACGAGGGATGGGATCAGATCTAGACCTGACAGATGAGTAAGAGCCATAGTTTGGGGTTCCCCCCAAGTCTCTGTCCCAGTAAGCCTTGATCTCTTATAATTTAGGCCTTTGCTTCACATATTGTCCTCTCACTCTCTCAGAACCTCCGAAGGGGAGTCTTTGCGGAGCAGTGGGCAGGGGCATCTGGGCACCATCTATTTCCACTGGTCTTAGGGTTGGATACTGATGCTTGTGTGGTCTGTTCATCGGCTGGAGGCATTATTTCCACGTCTTTCCGATTGTATTACTCTTCTTTGCTCTAGCTGGGAAGAGACCAGTAATGGCCATTTAGATAGCTGCCTTCTAGTAGATTCCAACTCAGATTAGCATTCCCACCCCTTGAAACCCTGTAGGACAGGGTGGGACTGCTCCATTGCGCTGGGCTGTCCGTCTTTATGGAAGCAGCCAGCCTCGTCGTTGTTCTGCAGAATCACTTGTGGCTCCAAACTGTTGCCCTCTTGGTTGGCAGCCCAGTGCTTAGCCCACTGCAAAATCAAGGGTCCTTGGGGACCATCTAATACACTGCAGTCAGAGAGTGGTGGAGGTAAGACCATCCTCCATCCTTTGCCCGGCCCGCTGCGCCCTTCCCATGTAGATCTCCAAACTACACCATTGCTTTTGATTTAAATCCAACTCCCACAGAGCGGCCGGTGGGCTCAAACCCCTCACCTTTTGGTAAGCCGAGCGCTTCACCATTGCACCATCACGGTTCCTCGGCACAGTCTGAGTCATCCGTAATTAAGAGTATTTCTGAAGTAAATGATTTCATAGGACAGTTTTCCTCATTAAAGGCGTGATTATAGGACAAAAGGGATGGGGGTGGGGTGGGCGGAGAAGGGTGCCCTCCAATTGTATAATTCTCATCATCGCATCAGTGTTCCAATCCAGCCACCTTCACGTCCCAGCCCTGAGTGGGCAGAGCCCTGGGCATCATTAAAATGCAGTGATAACAAGCACACACCGGTGGAAGCATCCAAGAGAGTCCCATTAAACTCGGAGTCAGCCTTGACAAGGCAAGGCACCCCTGACGCAGTGGAAACTGTGAGCTGGCTTCCTGCTGGAGCTTTGGGAGCCAGCTCCGGCCCCACCCATCTCACGCCACCTCACCAAGTCCCAGCTCCAGCACAACCCTCAAGGTTTGAACCGGGTCCTTTCAGGACTCCTCCAGTTTCTCCCTTCTCGTGATCAGGAGTCCTGCTTCTGAAGTTGTTAAGCATTCAGCTGCTAATCAAAAGGTTGGCGGTTCAAACCCATGGGACACTGCTGCTGGAATGATTGACAGCCTTGGAAACCATAGGGGGCCATTGTTCTCTGTCATATAGGGTCTCTAAGAGTCAGGATCAACTCTAAGACAATGGTTTCTTTAAGGGCCGGGGCGGGGTGGAGGGTGGGGAGCTCATGTCTGTTTAATTGTTTGCTTGCTTGTTCGTTTGGTTGTTAGACTTTCACCAATCTGGCCCCAGACAACCCCCCATGCACAACAAAGCAAAACACTGGCCAGTCCCGAATAATTAGCCGAGCTTCTTAAACTTGTGCTTCTCTGGACTCCTTTGTGCCCAAGACATTTGCAACACAGGCAAATGCTGCCAGAAACACCTTGGCTTCACTATGTGTCAGAAACCTTTTACTGTTGCCAAATATTTCACAGCTCCCACATTCAGTTATGCAGCTCCATATGGGGTCCCGACCCACAATTTAAGAAGCTTTGATACAGCAGTCTTTCCCAAAGTGGCCTTAGCCGCCCCCCTGGAAGATGGTGGCATGATGATCCAGGGGGTGCTGCAACTGCAGATAAGACTCCCAAACCAAACTCAAGCCCATCGAGTCGATGCTGGCTCTTAGCCACCCTGCAGGACAGGGTAGAACGGCCCTGTACGTTTCTGAGATGGGCACTCTTTTCAGAGCAGCAAGGCCCATCTTTCTCCCGCAGTGGCATCACACTTGGGGCCTGGCAGTCCGCAGCCCATCATGTAACCACTGCGCCATCTGGGCTCCTTGCGAAAGCAGATCTCTTGAAGGTCATCCTGAATGATGAGTTGCAGGACGAATGTTTTCTTTTGAAAAGGGGATGGCAGAAAGACAAAAACTGGGGGGAACCTATGGGAGTTCAGTGGCTGGTTTTTGGTACTCAGTTGCCAGGCCTTTCTTCCGTCCTTTCTGCCTTTGTCTATCTGAGGCTGGAAGTGCCACAGACACGGGTTCAGCGCATCACAAGAGTCAAGCCTCCAGTGACACACAGGAGGTGACTGCACGTGAGCTTCGGTGTCTGGTCATCAAACCCAGGTCTCCCACGTACAAAGAGAGAATCCCACACTGAACCGCCGTGGCCACTGACTTCTCTCTAGGCAGAAACTCTCCCCCAGCGTACCTGTGTACCACCTATTCACCCTCCCTCCCCACAACCAGTGGGCCATCTTCCATAGCCCCGAGGCCGTGTTTTATCATGTTTCTCCCTAGCTCGCGGGTCTAATATTACAAGACTGTAAGGAGCAGAGATGATCTCTGTTTGGGGTGCTCAGACTTTAGCAGGCTGAAGAAACACCTGGAGAAGAGGGATAAACCCCACGCCTGGACCACATACCCAAAGTCTGGCTCCAGCCGCTAACCCTCAAAGCCCTCAAGCTGCTGAAGCGACCTCTATGTGTGGTTCTCAGGCTTTAGCAAGTAGATGAAGCAGAGCTTGTCAAAACCCAGTGTTCTGGCCCTCGTATGTGGACCTACCAAGATGATGGATTAGGGTGTGAGGCTTCCTGGGTTTTCAAGGTTAGTCAATTCACAACTGCTGCTGGCATTGCTGGTTCGAGGCCCATACTTAAAAGACACAGGGCTGTCTTCTCATAAGACACATTCTCTTGGCTAAGAGGTGAGAGAGTAGAGAACTTAGAGGCTCCATATATTCCAGCCCTGGGGTTTGCAAAGTTCTTCCCAGGTTGGTCCCAACCCGCCTTTCTACACTCATACCCACTGGTCTCTTGTCCCCACTTGTGGTTTTCTGAAGAAACCCCGCTTTCCCGTGCTACCTTCTATGGTTCTTTCTACCTAGAATGTTCTGTGACCACCCCCTCCTCATCTGTACAAGTCTTGTCCATTCTTCAAGGCCCAGCCACCGCCCCCGCATCTCAGGGCAGGAAGCCTTACTGGATTCCCCACCTAGAAGCCAGCTGTCCAAAAGAAATAGAGCGCGAGCCACAAACCCAAGCCACAAATCACGATGTGTAACTTAAAATGCGTCCAGCGTCGCATTTCGAGAAAATGTGAAACAGATGAAATTTATTTTCATAGTCAGTTTTATTTAACCCCAAAATAGATGTGAAACATTATCTCTTCAGTGTGTGCCAGCACTGAAAACAATGTACGAATGAGAGAGATGCTCTTCCTTCCTCGACGCTCGGCCCTAGTTCTTCGGAATCCAGAGAGCATGGTGCACTCCGCTCAGAGCTGCACAGTTCAGACGTGCAGGGGGCACCTGCAACCTGTGGCTGCCGTGCTGAGCAATGCTGACGTGGAAATAGTTCCTCTGAGCCCCGAGTCCCCGGAGCCCTCTTGCAGGAATTCTCTTAAAACACGTATCACTTGGGCTTTCTTTGGTAGTGTTTGTATTGCTAGTCTCCCTGAAACTCAAAGGCGATGGCTGTGTTTCAATGCGACAGCTCCGTTTTAGTCCCACGAAGTGCCTAGCTCTGGCCTGCGTGCGTGGTCAGCCCACACTGGCTAAAGAAGGGCTGTGGGCACAATTGGATACAGGAAAGAGAGAGGAGACTGCTGCCAAACCAGCTAACGGGAAAGCCTTTCTCTCCTGTGGTTCTGTGTGTGGATGCTGGATCTTGGGGGCGAGAATTCCACTTTCCAACACCCGGCTTGCCCCCTTATACGTTTCCTGATTCACGTTAAAACTCGGTGCCTTAAAAAAGAAAGAACGAAATCCCACCAGGAGAGCCCAGGAAACAGGAAAACGAGTAGTGCCATTGGTCTCGTGTTTGGAGAAGAACAGGGTGCTCACTATCTCTGTGGCACTTGGCGTGAAAGTGGGCTTTGTTCCTGGGGACACTGCCCCCATTCAAGGCCCCCTGCCCCAGCTGCTGAGGGCCGGGCTGTGTTTTGACAGACGGGCCAAATGCAATGCCGACAGTTGTTTTACCTTCCAGCCAGATGCAGCCATCACTCACCAGGAGCCCCAAACCCACGGAAGGGAAGCGGGCCCCGACTACTGCTCTCAGGCCTTGGAGGGTGGGGGGCAAGGGGGCAGCGGAAGCAGGCCAGGCAGCTAAGGTCCCTGATATTCCCAAGGGCTGAGAGTCCCCAGGCCTGGCCTGGGAGAGGCAAGCTGGAAAAGTCCTGCCCCCGGTGGGGCACCTGTCAGAAGGTGCTTCTTGCCACCTTGCAGAAATGAGTCAGGGTTCAAGGGTTGTTCCTGCAATGAAAGGGAGTGGCTGGTGGCGGCCGTGGGTGGATGTTGTCTTTTCACTGTACGGCTTGTACAGGACAAGCATCAGACGCAGTGTCGGGAAGGAGTGAGGTAAACTATGGCGTTGGCTTTGGCTGCTGCGGGCTAGGCGGTATGCTGCCAATCGGAAGGTCAGCGCTTCACCAAGCCGCTCCCGGGAGAGTAAGATAAGGCTGTGTGCTCCCTTCAAGGTTTTAGTCTTGCAAATGGGAAATAGGGCCCTTGTGAGTTGGGAACAAGCCCCTCTGTTGGTGCAATGGAAGTTCAGACCTACCAGCCTCAACCCCATGAGAAAACATGGCATCTACTACCATAAAGTGACCACGTGGGAAACCCTGGGGGACAGCTCTGCTCTGTCACGTGGGATCACTCTGAATTAGAATTGATCGCCACACAACAGCACAGCCTTGGACTCCCGGGCAACATTTTGTTGCGTTATACATGGTCTCTGCTAAGGCCTACAGCTGCTAACCAGGGAGCTGGAGGTTATGTCCACCCAAATGTGCCTCAGAAGAAAGGTCTGGTGACCTATTTGCAAAACTTAACAGCCATTGGAAATGCTACCCAGTACAGTTCTCCGGAGGTCACCATGAGCCCAATTCTTTCCACGGCCAACAGTTACATGCGCAGGGTAGCTATGACTTAGAGCCGACTCAGTGGCTACCAACAGCACCAGGCAGCCTTCCCCGTCTCTCTGGCAGAGCCCCCTCCATGGGTGCTCCTTTGCGAAGCGAGGGCTGTTGCATTGTTGGACCACCCTGTGTTCTGTACGTTGTGCCTTCCTTGAAAGGCTTCACCCGAGTCCTAGTGGAGCCACATCGCTGCCCTCCAAGCCCGGGCACCTGCCTTCATGGCTACTCTGACAGTCCTCTTCTTTGGGCTGAACACACCTCCAAAATCTATCAGCTACACCTCAGATGTGGCCTCTGGGTCCCCCCATTCTGGTGACCCTTCTGGGAATGCTTTCGGTGTGCACAGCACCCCCATGAGAGCAAGTTGCAGAGATCTGAACTCTAAATTCCCCTCAGGTGGGGGCCTCTCAGCCTCACACTGTATGCAGGCCCTGGCCAAATTCGTCCTCCCTAGCTCCTGCCTCCCCTGCCAGCTGATCTTGAACTGATACTATCTCCGGTGTGATCAGTCCAGTACACAGGAGCCATTCCAAACCAGTTATCTCCACCTACACTGAGAGGACTCACTTTCATTATTAAAGAGAGGCACCGCACCCCCAACCTAAAGCAGACGCATTTCGGTAGCGTCTATTTTGCCTCATGGGACAGAGTAAAACTGCTGCATATGGCTTTCGAGGCTGTAACTCTTTACAGCCCTCAGCCCCCTCCCACAGAGCGGTTGCAGGGTTCAAACCACTAACCTTTGGGGTCGCAGCCCAATGTTTGGCCCACTGTTCTACCAGGACTCGTCAAAGTGAGGAGGTTGCTAGGCATTGTGAAGCCTTGTCTGACTGATAGCCAGCCTGTGCAACAAGATACAACACCGTGCAGTCTCCGTCCACTGTGCAGACTTGTATCCTTGCACCCATTGCTGCCACCCTGGTGTCAGTCTGTCCTGTGAAGACTCTTCCTTTTTCACACGGACCCTCTACCAATCACAATGGCTGGTCCCTCTGGATAACACATCCAAAGTACATCAGATGGAGAGAGGTTAGGGATGTTTAAAGTTGGCAAGGTCACTTACTGTACAGGTAGTGCTCCACCATGTAGGGCGGGGCGTGCAAAATAAGCACGAGCCCCCATCTGAGGAAAGGCAAGCACCTTGGGCTGACTGATGCGCAAGACCTTTCAGGATCTGACCCCAGCTTCCACCTCATGCCCAGCCCCATCCCTGGTATACCTGACACTCCAGTGATAGTGAACCTACCCATTTTCAAGGAAGTCTGGTATCCCGGCCCCTTAAAGCACGCTGCGCTGACTGAAAAGCCAGCGTTCAAACCCACCAACTGCTTCCTGAAAGAAAGCTACTGCTGTCCACTGCCAGAGACACTTACGGCCTGGCAAAGCCTATAGGACAGTTCCCCTGCAGTGCGTGCTCATCGTGAGTGGAGCGAATAAGGTAGCCACAGGTCTACTTTGTCTGGGCTTACTTTAATTTGTGGCAATCCCTCCAGTTGGAATGCCACACTCTTATTCCTCCACTCTGCCTGCCCCCTCCCTCATTCTCCTGGCTCCTTCCTCCCGGCAAGCTTACCTGGCCACCCCTCCTCTAAGCTCTCATGGCTTGCAGGGCTCCCACCAGCCCCCTGCATCCAGCACTCAGCACAGGAGAACAGTTGTCAGCTTGTCATGGCGAACCTCCCTGGTACTGCCAGTGGCCTCGGCAAGGGTGGGATCCCTGTCCTGCTTGGCTCCCGGTCTCTCCATTGGACAGCAGTAGTTTAGTGCCTCCACACCGTTGACATCTGGGAAGCATTGGAGGAAGGAACACTGTTAGGATTCATCCTGAGCCTCTTCAGGAGGATGCTGTGAAGGGCGGCTCCATCACATCTTTCACACACACACACACACACACACACACACACACACACACACACACACACACCAGAGGCAGAGCTATGAGCTCCTGGGCACCAGGCTCCATTTTCACTGAAGTTCACACATCTACTAGGTGGGGGACCTCTGTGCCCTACAAGCTGAGAACCCATTCCCAGCCCTGCACATGTTTTCACAGCCCCAAAACCTCTTTGCCCCAGCCAGCAATACATACCTAGGACTGATCAAATAGAAAGCCTCCGTCCCTTGACCCTCTGGCCTGGCCTTGATTGTCACACACACTGGGCAGGTGGGAGCTGGTCAAGTGCAAACAGACAGGCTGAGCTGGCAGGGCCCCACTGGGAAGCGAGAAGGAGTTTGCAAGGAGGGCAAGGTCTTGCTCCGCAAATTCCCGCTCTCCCCAGTGAGACAGAATCGGACGGGCAGCTTGTCTCCATGGAGGTTCCCATTGAGCCAGACCTTTCAAAGGCTGGGAGATTTACTAGAGAGACTGAATTGCAGACATCAGAGAATGAGATAATTGAATCCAGGTGGTATATTTGCTTGCATGTAAAGAGACTGTGCCGCACTGTGAATATTATGTGTGTGTGATGGGAAAAGTTTCTCCGGCTCGCCCCTTTTAAATGTCCTCTGTGCAGACAGGATGCTTCAGCCCGAGCCCAGCTGAAAGCTCTTCAGAGAAGAGTTGGGGCCGCGCAATACCCTTTCAACAGAGTTAACCATTTTCAGTACTCGCCACTGCTAGCCCCAGCATTTGGGAGGACACCAGTGGTGGGAAGAAAGGGATGTGAGGATGTACTTCTACCTCCGGCTAAAATGGAATCCCTCAGCAGGGCCGGGGGTTACAGACTCAGTCACACTGCAAGGTTGGCGGTGTCCCATCTGCCCACAAGTGCCTCAGAAGAAACATCTGGCAATCCCCCTTCTTCCCCTCCTCCCAAAAAATCAATTCTTAAAAACCTAAGAGAACACAGTTCTACTCTGACACACATGGGGTCTTCATGCATCAAAACGACGCAAAAGTTTTTGGAGCCGATGGGTGGTACAAATAGTTCATGTGTTCAACTGCCACCCTGAAGGTTGGAGGTTCACCGTCACCAAGGTGCCCCTCAGAAGAAAGGTGTGGCAACCTGCTTCCCCAAAAGCCTGGTGTTGAAAGCCCCAAAGCACAGGCCTGGACACGTGGGGTCACCTTGAGCTAGAGTCAGTCCTTGGGCACATGGCTAGGGGGTTTTTCTCATTTTTTGCCTGGCCAAGACACCTTGGGGATCTTTTCTACAGAGACTGACCGCCTTATGCTGGGCAAACGGATGAGAACATGGAGCCACTGCCTCACCCCCC